CCACTTCCCAAGTCTGTGCATACACATCCCACTTCCCAAGTCTGTGCGTACACATCCCACTTCCCAAGTCTGTGTGTACACATCTCACTTCCCAAGTCTAATTTCCACACTGCACCCAGGTAGGCACTTAGGCCAAGTTCCACCAAATTCAGACTCCTCCACTTGTTCCGTTCTTAACCGGTCGCACCAGGCCTCTGTGACCCCAACACTAGTCTGGGCTCCAGAGGTGCGGTCCTTCCTAGCTGCTTCAGCTGCAGCCTGTCCCTCCCCAGGTAGTGAGGTGAGTTCCCTGGCGCCCTTCAAGACGGCCAGGTATGGTGGTACATAGTGAGACCCGGTCTCAAAAAATAGAAAAGACTGTGTGCATCCTGCTGAAAATGTGTCCCATTTCCCTGGTCTCTGTACCGCTGTTTTTCTGTTGGCTTAGTGACCACACCTCTATCTACTGATAATTTAACTACCGTCGGTGCCCTGCGCCCTGTGGCCCCCACATCAGCACCCTACTGCTCAGACTGTGGCCTGGCTGGATTTCCAGTCCCACCAGCACCAGCTCGGCTGCCAAATGTAGATTTTAACTGAGTCTCTATCGTTCTATTTACCAGTAAAGACTCAGGAGTCAGATGTTGAGGTGAAAACCTACTAGGTCAGCGAAGTTGAGAAGCAACCAGTTGACCTTCCTGTTAGCTGGAGACCCAGCAAGAGAAGACAAGTCTCTCCACTTGTCCCCAAAAGAGTCAGGGACTCTCTAAGTCCCTACCTACTTCTTCCTGTGCGTCCCTCTATCCGCCTTCCTGGGTCCTCCGTACTCTCTATGGCTAATTCTTGTCAACTGGTCACTGGCTCAGCCCCCTGATCCAAGGTTAATTTTATTAACACAATTTTAGTGTGATCAAATACCCTGCAGCATTATACAACCTGGATTTTAGTTTGCTTTTCTGTAGCACTGATCACCTTTCTTTCTTATTTAAAATATTTTGATACTGGATCTCACTATGTATCTCTGACTGTCCTGGAACTCACTGTGAGGACCGGGCTGGCCTCTAACTCACAGAGATCCACCTGCCTCTGCCTCCCAAGTGCTAGGATTAAAGGTGTGGGCTACCATACCTGGCTACTGATCACCTTTTGATACACTGTAACTTATCTGTGCTCTATCATTGTTTATTGCCTGATACCTTGTGAGCGCCATAGGCTCAAGGATCTCTATCCAAATGGCTCCAACAGTACCTGACCCACAGAAGCTCAGTAAGAAGGTGATGAATAAACCAGTCCGTAGTGCCTGAGAGGCTGACAGATTATGAGTTTGAGACCAGGCTAGACCCCCTTCTCCCAAGGAAAGAAACCATCAGTCTAAGTTTTATAGATGTGGTCACTGAAGCTTCTCAAGTAACTGGCTCAAAGACACTCAGATAGTGGGTGGCAGGTGCGGACTTCAGAGCCACAGGCTAGACCCTTCTACGATGCTTGAGGATGCAGAGCTGGGGAAACAGCCTGAAGTGCCAACCAGCATTAGTCTTTGTTGCTAGGTGGGAAGGTGAGCATGATATTAACAGATTATTTTATTTTTCTAGAAAAGTTAGGAATCAAATTTTTTTGGAATTCAAATTTTTGGGGATTTTTGCTTGTTTGCTTTTGTTTTTAGAGACAGAGTTTTGTGTGTGTGTGTGTGTGGCCCTGGCCAGCATAGACCAGGCTGACCTTGAACTCAGAGATTCACCTGCTTATGCCTCTTGAGTGCTGGGATCAAAGATATGTGACACCACTGTTTAGCTGGAATTCAGATTTTTATTAAAAAATGCATTAATTAAGAGGTGGTGGTGCACACCTTCATTCCCAGCATTTGGGAGGCAGAGGCAGGAAATCTCTGCGATTGAGGTCAGCCTGGTCTACATAATGAGTTTCAGGATTGCGAGGGCCACACAGAGAAGCCCATCTCAAAAACCAGAATAAACAAATGAACAAGCAAACAAATAAAAATTGGTATTTGGGGGTGGGCATGGTGAGGGTACACTTTCAGTCTCAGTGCTATAGCTATTATACTGATGCATCGGCAGTAACAGGTTTTCTGACCCCCAATAATAGGTTTCTCTTGTGACACAGTAAACCAGATCAAGTTGAAATGAAAAGGTATAACAACAGGTTTACTTGAGCAAAGCAACTGCCTGGCGGGTTCTCCAGCCCTAGAGATGGAGGCCTGAACTAAAGTAAGGAACTTGTATAGACTGTAGTCAAGGGGATGATGATGTATTCTCTACAAGCTGGGTTTGTGCCCGAGTATGGTCGAAAACTGAATGCTTTAGAAGGGGACTTGAGTGGTGGCAACTTCAGGGGAGGAGCTGCCACAGCCACCAAGAATGCAGAACTGGGAGTTTTGTGCCTTCCCATTGTCGGAGATTCTCTGAGTGGGCGGGGCTTGGAGAGGCAGGAATGGGATTTCTTAGATGATGCAGGGACTGCAGGAGCAAGCTGGAGGTTCCAACAAACAGGCAGGCTCTCTGTGTGCTCAAGACCAGCCTGGTCTACATAGTGAGTTCCTGTTCATCCAGGGCTGCATATGAGATCTTATCCCCAAAAGGGGGAAAAACTGGGGAGAAGATCAGTTGATGACTACAGGTCCCCCTGCAATCCACAGAATCCACATGGAAAGCCAGACTTGATAAACTAATACCCATGTGGGGAAGATAGAAGCAGGTTCATCCCTGGGGCTCTCTGGCTACCCAACCTAATCAGGATCCCTGGTCCAGAATAGTTATGTCACCTGCATTTTCCTTCCCAGCCGCCACACTAGCCAGTCCCCAACCACAACCCAGTAGATGCCAGGCTTCCAACAACCCAGTCCTGACACTGCATCCCATTACAGAGGAGCAGAGTTCGGTTGCCAAACATTTCCTGAGCCTTATCTGTCACCTGAGTCCCTAGAGAGACACTAAAGAAGGTCATGTTCACAGTCAAGCATTGTTAGTGAGGTTGTGACCCAGGCAGAACAGTGTCTCCAAAAGTTTATGTCACCCAGACCAGCCGTACCTGATTTGGAAAGAGGGTCTTCGTGGATGTAATCAAGTAAAGTTGGCCTATCTTTTAAATGATTGATTTTTACTGCGTGTGCGTGAGTCTGTGCGTGCGTGTGTGCATGCGTGCTGGTGTCTGCAGAGGCCAGAAGCATTGGATTCCCTTGAGCTAGAGTTACAGGCAGTTGTTCACTGCCTAATGTGCACGCTGAAAACAGCAGTGCCGGCTCTTAACCGCTGAGCCATCCTGCCAGCTCCCGTGATTTCAGTTTTACTTGATTACATCCAAACAGGGAGGGAAGCAGAGAAAAATGTAGAGCTCAATAAATATCAATAAAATTTTTTTAAAAAATAATTGATGGATGGCGATACAGACGGAGACCCACATTGGAGCACCGGACTGAGCCCCCCAAGGTCCACATGAGGAGCAGAAGGACGAAGAAAATGAAAAAGGAAATAAGGACTGCGAGGGATGCTATCACCCACTGATACAAGGGGACGGATCTAATGAGAGCTTACCAAGGCCAGTTGGACTGGGACTGAACAAGGAAGTGATCCAACCAGATTCTCTGAATGTGGCCGGATTCTCTGAATGTGGCTGGCCCGGAGTCTTTCTGAAAAGCCATTGACAATGACACTGGGACTTGTTTCCTCTGCATATACTGGATTTTGAGGATCCAGTCTGTTTGGATACTCACCTTCCTGGACCTGGAGGGAGGGGGGAGGAACTTGAACTTCCCACAGGGCAGGAAACCCTGACTGCCCTTAGGGACGAAGAGGGAGGAGGAGAGGGAGTGGGGGGAGTGGGAGGGTTTTGGGAGGAGGGGCGGAAATGGAAACTTTTATAATTTAATAAAATTACTTTCTAAAAAAAATAAAAATAAAAATAAAAAAATAAAAAAGAACAATTAGAATTCATGCTACAATTATTTACATTCATTGTAAGCATATATACTGTATTGTACACAGTGTTAGGGCTTATAAGAACTCTCGGGGCCTAGGAGCTATATTTTAACCACTAGCTGCTCTTACAGAGAGGTTCTGAGTTCAATTCCCAGCACCTACAAGGCCGCTCACAACTGTCTGTAACGCCAGTTCCAGGGGATCTGACACCTTTACACCAACACACATAAAATAAATTTAAATTATATTATTTAATTTTAATTAATTAGTTAATATTATATATAATTGTGGTGCATGTCTTTAATACCAGCACTCAGGAGGTAGAGGCAGATCTCCACGAAACTGAGTTCAAGGTCAGCCTGGTCTACAGAGTGAGTTCCAGAACTGCCAGGGCTACACTGAGAAAGCCTGACAAAAAGGAGAACTCTCTCTCTCTCTCTCTCTCTCTCTCTCTCGTTCTCTCGTTCTCTCCCTCTCTTTCTATCTCTCTCTCCTCTCTTTGTTGTTTTTTCAAGACAGGGCTTCTCTGTCTAACAGCTTTGGTTGGAACTCCCTCTTTAGACCAGGCTGTTCTCAAACTCACAGAGATCTGCCTGCCCCTGCCTCCTGAGTGCTGGGATTAAAGGCTTTAACTGCCTCCACCACCAAGGGAGAACTCTCTCTTTTAAAGACTTGTTTTATTATTTATGTGTCTCAGTGTCAGAGGCAAGAAGAGGGTTGATTCTTCAATCAATTCCCTTAGAGCTGGAGTTATTTTTTATTTCCTGTGCTTGTGTTTTCCCCTGCATGTCTGTCTATGTACCACGTGCATGCAATGCCTGGGAAGGCCAGAAAAGTGTGCCTCCATCCCCGCCCACCCCTTAGCCTGTAGCCCAGGCTGACTGGAACTCCATAAACCACCAAGAATGACCTTGAATTTCTGATCTTCCAACTCCTGAGTTCCAGGTGTTAATATTACAGTACTGCACCTGCTCATTCCTTCTCTCTCTCCCTTTCCCCCATTTTTCACCGCCCTCCCTCCCTCCCTCCCTCCCTCAGGTGGAGTTCCATATATACAGGCTGGCTTCTAAATTGAAGTGAAACCCCTCACCATCCAGCCTTAGCATGTCGAGTGCTATTACCTCAGCTTGTGAAATGTGGAAGATCTGACCGTGAACCTAACTGCTGTTTGTCGAGCGTTCCTCACAATCGACAACACAAGGCTTTGTGCCAGGAGCTCCTGGAGGAGGCACCTAACCGACAGGCGGCAACGCTGATACAGGTCGCCCCCTGGTGCTCCTCTGGTGTCATCGCAGCGGCTTTGAAGTATTTTGTACTTGAGACGGAAGCTGTTTGTCCCACTGGCTGTCCCTCCCTCGGAGAGAAGCCGCCAGAGTGCAGAGGTGTTTTTTGTTTTTTTGCTTTCTTTTCCTCCTTTCCTTTTTTTTTTTTGCTCCCACCCCACAATACTGGGAATTGAACTCAGGGCCCCAGGCGGGCTAGGCAACCGCTCTCCCGCTGAGTCACGCCCTCCCACACTCACCCCCTCCCCCGCCACACACTGCCTTGCACTGCGTCTTTAAACAGTAGCCAGGGCTCTCAATCGACCCACCACCTGCAGGCTGTCCTCGTTCACCAACCCTGTAAAGCCAGTCAAACTAGAAAGGGTCATTTCTGGGGACCTGACTGGATAGGGAGCCGAGGAGTAGATAGAACCCACTGGCAGAGGTGAGGAAGGTGTCAGGGAGAGGGGAAGGAAAGAGTGGGGTTTCCAATAGCCAGAAGAGGAATATGAGCATCTAGACTCTCCCCGCAAATCTAGAGCCTTGTTAGGGTGAGTCACTAGGCCAGGGTTAAATGTTGTGTGAGCCCAGGACCTGTCTCAACCTCTCCGAACTCAGTTTTTGCTTTTGTTTTGCTTTTTACTCACTCATTAAAATTTTATTTTTACATGTGTGTGTGTGCACGCGTAAGTGGATACCGATACCATGTGTGTGGGTGCCCACAGAAGCCAGGAGAGAGTAATGGGTCCCTTGAGCTGGAGTTATTAAATACCTGACATGAACGCCCGAGGCCTCCGGAAGATCAGCAGTCGCTCTTAACCATTGAGCCAACCATCTGAGTCTTTGCTCAGACAGGGCCTTGTTATGTAGCTCAGGCTGGCTTGGCTCGCTACCCTCCTGCCCCAGTCTTCAGTGCTGGGATTACAGGTGTGCATTGCACAACCATTCTGCTGTTGATTTTGTTTTAGTTTTGCCTCTAAAGGATGGACAACGAGGACACCGGGTCCTTGAGATTGCTAGGAAACCGGTTGAACTTCACCTAGTGCCTGGCGCCTGGACCAATACATGTGAGGCTGTGGTGGGAAGAGAAAGCCAAGCCACACAGGCTACAGCTAGAGACGGCACAAACAGAACTCTGCTCTCCAGAGACTCACAGTCTAGACGAATAGACTGTCTTGCCACCAGAAGAGGCAATAGACCAGTAGGGTAAACATGGTCCCATATCACGGGGAACAAACGGAGCTTTCGAGAGCAGGGGAGTGTAGCTAGTTGTCAGAATGCTGACCCCTAGCATGCAAGGAGTCCTGGGTTGGATCGCGCTGCACAGGCAAGGTGTGGCTCCTGTCTGTCATTCCAGTACTTGAGAGGTAGAAGCGGGAGGGTCAGAAATTCAAGAGCATTCCTGGATGCACAGTGAATTCAAGACCAACCTGACATTTGAGAGAGACAGACGAATCTCTGCATCTGGGGATGGCCTGGTCTATATAGTGAGTTTCAGGCCAGCCAGGGCTACATAGTGAGACCCTATCTTTAAAAAAAAAAATAGTAGAGCCAGGGGGTGGAGATGCATGCCTTGAATCCCAGCACTCGAGAGGCAGAGGCAGGTGGATCTCTGTAAGTTCGAGGCCAGTCTGGTGTACAAGAGCTAGTTCCAGGACAGGCTCCAAAGCTACAGAGAAACCCTGTCTCAAAAAAAATGAAAAACAAAAACAAAACAACCCAATGATAGTGACATACAGAGCACCTGACTGGGCTGGTTCTGTCTCCACAGTAGACTATAGAGGTGTTTGTCCTTCTAGAGGGTTACCACCCTCCAGTTCACAGAAACTGAAGCACAGTGTATGTGCACGGAAGCATCCTGCCCAAGACTGAAAAGCTGGTAGGCCTGAAACTTGAATGAGAAGAATACAAGTCGAGAATGCCCCCTTTCTCTGGCACCTCCTGTACAGAAACCCACCAACCTGCTGGAGGGGTCACTCTCTCACACACCGCCCCACCCAGGACCACAGACAGGAGCATACGTGTCTGTTTAGATGAACACCATACTCTGCCCTGACACAAGATCAGAGATCCTCCGAGTATCTGCTAATCCCACCCATTGAGAATAAGACCACGAACACAGCTTGAAGCCAAAATTGAAGCCTCCTTTAATTAAATACTGACCAGGTGGATGGACTCTGGCTAGGTCCACACTCAGGTTCCAGGAAAATGGCCCAGAATCAGTTTGTAACGGCTTAAGAAGGAAAACCCGTAATTCGTTGCATTTCCCATCAGGTCCAATCAGGGGCAAGCATACATCCTGATGCACCTCTACCCTGTCAACCTCCCGCCCACATCTGATCAAGCACATCAGTGCAGATGGGTCAAACAAACTTGGTTAGGGGAATGAAAAAATGTGGCTTGTTATCCCCCATAAACAACAGCCTCCAGCATTTCAGGAACGATCTGTCCTTGGCCAAGGGGCTTGCAGATCAGAGGCATTTTGTTTCATGGATCTCTTAGGCACAGCTCTTAAAGCTTAAATTGCAACTTGGACTCTCCCATATCACCATGGAGTGGTGTGCGTTGCTGGAGGTGAACAGGAGCTTCTTCTGGACTCACAGACGTATGGTCTGATGTAAATCAGACGTAAGTTCAACAGCATGCTATACCCCAGGATGCTTCCTGACGCGCGCTCACGTGCCAAGTATGAGGATGAGGTCTGAGACACACTCTAGTAGCTACGTTTATTGAGTGCTTATTGTATGTCAGCCCATCAGCGAATGGCGGTGACTGGAGCCTGGCCCTACCAGCAGTGGTGAGCACAGAGATGTGCCTTGGCTGGGTTCCCATGCTGACAGTCCTTGTGGCCTTGGATGGGCCTTGGATGGGTCACATCCTCCTGTGAGCCTGTGTGTGCAGGTACACCCCACGGGCATGCGTGGTGATGGGACCAGTAGCTAACTGCTTCCTCCCATGTCTCAGGTGGGGTTGTTGTCAGCAGGATTGAGAGCTTCCTGTCCCAGCCTAACCAAAGCCAAGCTCTGGGCACCAGGCCATCAGGGACCTGGTGAGGGAAGAAGGCAGAGGATTTCATAAGCATCCGATCTGGGCCATGTGCTCAGGGCAGAGAGAAAAACAGGATGTCCTTTGGGGCGTACACCTGGGCAAGGGCCAGACCTGATCTGGTTTGGCAGGGGAGGAGCTGCCAGACTTGGCATCTGGTTGTGTGTACACAAGCAGGTGTGTGAGTGGAGCTTACGGGGGGAGCACTTCACTGGTCCCAGGCCAGCTAGTGAAGGAAGGCCCATGGGAAGGGACAGAGAAAAGAACAGGGGGAGGCGTGAACTCATTTTTTTCACTAATCTTTTGTTGTTTTAAGAGATGAGATATCCTTATGTTGCCCAGGCTGACTTGGAGCTCCTGGCGATCATTCTGCCTCACCTTCTCAAATGCTGGGATTATAGGTACAAGAGTAGCCACACTGGGTGGGAGCTTTCAGAGGTCCTAAGTGGCCGAGTAGAGTATGATGACTCACGCCTTTAATCCCAGCACTCCAGGCGTGGAGGCAGGCAGAGCTCTGTGAGTTCAAAGTCTACACAGTGAGTTCCAGGACAGTCAGGGCTACAGTAGTGAACTCTGTCTCCACACACACACACACACACACACACACACACACACAGAGAGAGAGAGACAGAGAGAGAGAGAGACGCACACAGAAATTTGGATGTTTTAGGTGTTTTAGAATGGGCACTGTGGGTCCTTGGTGTACCACGTGTCCTGACCCTACCACAGCCTGGGGTCTAAGAGGACTCTTGGAATGTGGAATGACCCAAACCCTGTGAGCATGAGTGTGACTTACATGAAGGAGCAGGTGTGTGTGTGTGTGTGTGTGTGTGTGTGTGTGTGCGCGTGCGCGCTCATGTGCCTGTGCAGCCAGCTGTCTGCCACAGCATGTAACTCAAGATCACAGTCTGGGTATCGCTGCTCCTGTCCTGTGCACCCACTGGGCCCGCCCCACGTCAGGCCTAGCGGTCACACAAAGCTTCTAATCCAGCTACAGGACAGAGGCCTCCTCAGTGTATACTCCGGGACTCCAGAGAAGACCTCCCAGCTCAGAGATGGCGTCAGCATGGAGTCCTCCACCAGGAGACTCAAACATACAAGAAACACTCGTAGCCAGAGGCTACTGTTCTGGCCCATGCTCATGGGTTTTTCCCAAGTATATCCCCCAAATTCTAAGCACTGACAAGACATTTAGTGCTTAGACACTGTGCTAAGGGCTTTCATTTGTCTACACAGACTCTAATGTAACCCAGGCTGCCCTCGATGTATAGCCAAAGACAACCTTAAACTCCTGACTCTGTAGCCTCTACCTCCCAAGTCCCAGGATTACAGGCCTATGACATCACTCTTTAATGTGTATTTGACAGCTTTGGAATTACAGCGACCAACATGGTAGTCTTAGGTCTGTCGCTGTCTGAGCCTCAGTTTCTAACCTAAGATTTTTTTAAATTTACATGTATATGTGTGTCTGCTTATGTGGATACGCATGAGCACAGAGGCTAAAAGAGAACATTAGATCTCTCAGAGCTGGGCTATAAGCAGCTGGGCTACCTGATAGGGTGCTGGAATCCAAACTCTGGTCTTCTGGAAGAGCAACAGGTGTTTATTATCACCAAGCCATCTCTCCTGTCCCCAACTACCCAAAACTTGAGGCGTAACGCCCACTTCCGAGCCTATGGCCATGTCACTGTTGGAAACTTAACCTCCTCCCAAGACACAAGTTAATGGTATTTGAAGGCGCAATTTTTGCGGTATAAGGATTCTGCCCTGCTGAATGAATTCGTCCTTTCAGACGCTGGTGGGGGGATGGGTTCGTGGCTCACAACAGAGTGGTCTTGTAAAAGGTTGCTGCGAATGCCCTCTCCAAGTTAGGCTGGACGAAAATAGTTATGTTTCTAGCCCAAGGCCACACAGAGCAGAGCATCACGGCCGTGCCCTCGGATTCACAGGCTCCAAGCCCAGCACACAAAGAGCTACTCATCACAAACAACTCAGTCTGTATTGTCCAGTTCTAGCCACAGAAGACAGCCTGGGACCTCTTTCCAGCTGTAGGGTAGAGCAGCCTGTTCCGCTCACACCCTCTGCTTCTCCAACATTCCTATGTGCTACACCACACCAACACTCCCTCAGGACTTGCCAGGTGAGGTTGTTCCCTCCAGGCAGATAGCAGTGACAGCCACTGGAGCTTACAGAGTGACAAGCAACAGTGTGGAGTTCTATGAGACTCAGGATCCACCAGGCACTGAGTTCAGCTTTATCTTCTAAACCTTCACATCCCAGACCTGTGTGAGGAGGCGTCAGCGGGTCTTAGAGCGTAGCAGGGGCCGGCAACACTTAGTAGGGACAGACAACATTCACCACCTAAAAAGAGCAGGGCAAAACATGAGAAGTCATCTGAGTGAGAGACAGAGAGAAAGATAGGACCACAGGGCAGAGGCTCTAAGGCAGGAAGAGCTTGGCAGGTTCAAGGGTGAGAAGAGATACGAAGAGATATGGGTGTGGGAGACAGCAGGAGTCAGCTCCCTTATCACTGACTCAACTTCATGGGCAGGAATCCTGACTCTCGGAAGTTATAAGGAGCTGGTCCAATATCACACAAATAATTTTAGAGGCTACAGTTGCCATGGAGATATCCACATAATGGTTCTGCTCACTGCTCCACAACTAAAGGCAGGACAGATCACCACAGAGTCTATTATCTTCTAACAGAACGACCTGGTAACTCCCTAGCCCAGACTTCCGGAATCCTAGGGCCAAAGAAATGTTAAATGACAGGAAGAGGGAGTGGCTTCCTATGGAGGGGAAGGAAGCTTCTTTGGGGGCCTGTGACACTGTGGGCGTGTGAGAGCCATGGGTAGGTGTGAAGGAGGAGGAAGGCTATGCTCAGGAAGCAGCAGGGTCTCCGCTGGCCACAACCCCTTCCTCACTAGCGGTGCCTCCTCCCGACAAGAGTACCCCAGTCGCCAACGTGGGTTCCTGCACATCTGCTCTGAGGGCAGTAGAATACAGAAAGATTCACCCACCCACCATAACCAGAGAAAGCTCTAGGAAGGCCTCACAAAGACCCCTACTTTCAGTTTTTCAAGGTGGCAAAGATCACAGGTTTGGAGGACAAACAGCCTGTGCTGCGGAAACTGTGGGGGAAGAGGCAGAGGTGGATGGGGATTAACTCCGCGGGAGGATCCCTGTGGAAGCGCAAACATGCTTTTGACTTTGAGGTCCAAGTGCTTTTTACCTACATGAGCAGCAGCCTTGCTTATAAAACAGAAGCCTGGGGCTGGAGAGATGGCTGAGTGGTTAAGAGAACTAGATGTTCTCCTGGAGGACCCGAGTTCAAGTCCCAGCACCACATGGCAGCTCACAACTGTCTGTAACTCCAAGATCTGATACACTCACACAGACATACACGCACACCAACGCACATAAACTAAAAATATAATAAATTATTAAAAAATAAAACAGAAGCCTGGACATCCCGAATGCTTAGGCAGAGTGGAGGACAAATGTCCGCATCCCTGCTGTGGGGTGTATAACTTGTAAGGACTCACAGGGAGGTCCTTCTGGAGACACCTGGTTAAACCAGGAGTCGGGTGTGGTGGAGTGCACCCATTGTGTAAGAGACTGCTCAGCCTTAGCTACATCCTGAATTCAAGACCAGCCTGGGCAACAGGCAACACTGTCTCAAAAACTCCAACACACTTTCACTCAAGAGGCTGGAGAGATGGCGCACCAGGTACGAGGACCCAGTTCAATGCACAGCACACATATGGCAACTCACATCTGTGGCTCCAATTCTAGGGGCTCTAATGGCCTCTTCTGGCCTCCCTGGGCATCAGGCTTGCAAGAGGCCAGCAAAGCTGCTTGCTCTACCCGGTGCTTACTCTGCCCGGCCTCCCGCTTCCTCCACACACATCCATGGGCTCTCACACCTCCACAGTGTCACCATCACGCCCCATACACGGCTCCTTCTCCTTCATAGGAAGTCACTCCCTCTGATATGGATGTCGGCGAAGTAACACACATGCACACAGACACTAGAAAGAGAAAGAAGGGAAGAAAGAAGCCATCTAGAGGACAGTAAGTATGTGTCCATATGCGTAAAGATACAAAACAAACAGAATTTATGCCAGGTATGGTGGCTTACACCTTCAAGGCCAACATTCAAGAGGCAGAAGCAGGTGGAGCTCTATGAGTTTAAGGCCAGCCTGGTCTATATAGTGAGACCCTACCTTAAATAACTGAAACAAACAAAAACATAACAAAGCAGAATTTATGTCATGAAGGGAACAGAAAGATGGTTTGCTTCCAGAATGAGTGGCTGAGCTAGGGACAGGAATGAGGGGGAGATCTTACAAGTCTTAACCTTAGAAATTTTAACCAAACTACAGAATTAAAATATTAATTAATGTAATGTTAATACTACTATCATAAACTGCTTTTATTTATTTGTTTGTTTGTTTTTTTTCGAGACAGGGTTTCTGTGTAACAACCCTGGCTGCCCTGGAACTAGTTCTGTAGACCAGACTGGCCTCGAACTCACAGAGATTTGCCTGCCTCTGCCTCTCGGGTGCTGGGATTAAAGGTGTGTGCCACCACCGCCCGGCTTGAAATCTGTATCCTTGAAAGTGCCGTAGCCCACAGGTTTCTTGCCTGCAATTAAGCTCTGTTTCCATAGGCAGAACATCCTGGAAAAGGAAAACCGAGATTCTAGTCCAGATGTGGGTCCTGGCTCCATCACTGATCTACAGTGATACCTCAAGACAACCCCCTCTCTCTTAGGCTAGGGGACAGCCCATCCTTCCGGATGTCTCAGTCATGACCGTGTAAGCGCAGGTGTGCTTGAATATACTTACACATGAATGTGGAGACCAGAGGACAACCTTTGAAGCGTTTATCTAAATTGTTCTATTAGTTAATAAAAACTCGGGAGTCCACTATCAGGGTAAAAACCTAATAGATCAAGAAAGCAGCAGAGGAATGACCTGCTGACCCTCTCTCCACACTTCCTAGATCAGAGTGCTAGCAAATTCCAAGTCCCTCCTTTCTCCTTCCTGTCCATCTTCCCTATCCTTATTCCTGGCTTCTCTATGGTTATCTTGGATCAGCTTGTCACTGACTCCATCCCCTGATTCAAGATTAACTTTCTCAACGGAGTGCGTGCGGTCAAATACCCCTCCGGCAACACAACCTCAGATACCAGTCTCAGGAATACTGTCCACCTCCTTTGAGGCTGTGTCCCTCATTGGTCTGCAGCTCACTAATTAGACTATCTTGGCTGGCCCGTGAACCTCAGGGGTCCTCTTGTCTCCTCTTCCCCAGTGCTGGGACTACAAGCACATGGCATCATATCCATCATTTTTATGTGCATTCTAGGGCTTGAACCCAGCTCCTCGTGCTTGTGAGGCAAGAAATTTACCAGCTAAACCATCTCCCAGCACTCTTCTTGGTCTTTAAAAAAAAGCTCAAGTGTCTGTGTGAGGTTTGTGCATGTGAGTGTGGGTGCCTGTAGCTGTCAGAGGCATCAGACCTCCTGCAGTTGGACCTCCAAGCAACTAAAGCTGCCTGAAGGGGTTTCTGGACACGCCTCTGCAAGAGCACAAAACACTCTTTACCGCTGAGTCACCTCTGCAGCCCTCTTCTCGCCCTTTAATTCATTCACCGTAACTAGACTGAATACCTACGGTTTCCCAGACTTGGTTCCTCTACTTCCTGCTCACGCATGGGCTCCTGCCTCCCAAATGCTGGGATGAAAGAACTATTTTAAAGACTATGGTCTTAAAGATTATTCATCTACAGTTCACCCACAAATCTACTCAGCCACCACCCACTATCCACTAGTCCCCCTACTGTCCACTGTGCACCTGCCCAGGCATCTTTTCTTCCTCTGTAAGCCAACAAGTCTGTCGTAAACCCCAGTGGCACTAACCCCTGTGCCTGGCACTGGAATAGGGCATGGACAGCAAAATAGAAACTGGTACCAGAAGTGGGGTTGCGGCTGTGATAAATCTGACCATGTGGTTCTTGGGCCTTTGAAACTGGTTTGTGGAAGGACTGTTAAAGAGTTTGGAGCTTCACCACAAGCCCCAGGTACCAATCGTGGAGCTGCAGGATTTGGTGGTTTCCCTGATGTATTTGTGTCTGATTATTCCTTGCTATATGCCTTGATCTTCATTTTAGGGTAAGAAAGCTTACTTTGTGGCATTGTACTGTGGAAGTGCCTAATTTGATTTTTATGTTTTAGGAAGTCACCGGTGAGAAACTTTGGACTTTGAAAGTATTAAAACTGCTAAAGACTTTAGAAACTTTTAAAGTTGGGCAGAATATTTTGCATTACAGTATGGTTGTGAACCTATGGGATACAGGGAGGAAAGCTATAGTGTTAAAGTAATGCTTTCGGGTATCAAGTTGACAAGGGGTGGACTTGTGATAGTTTATTTTGGTCGTAACTTGGCTATGTCTAAAAATCAAGAAATATGTAGGCCACTGGGCACATCTGTGAAAGGATTTTCACGATCAACTTATTTGAAGCAGGGAGACCTGTCCTAAATTTGAGCAGCAGCTTCTAGTGGGGACCACATAAGAAGAGGCTCTGAGGAAGAATCTTTGCTTTTCGCCTCATTGCCTTCGTGTTCTGCTGATGAGTTCATTTACCCTGTGTTGCTGTTATTACTGCTGCTGCCGCTGCCGCTGCATTCCTTCGCTAACATCACAACCCAGCCTTTGCAGGCCTCCAGTGTAGACTGAAGACCAGTGACTCTCTAGGATTCTCCAGGGATTCGGCTACAGGTTGGGATCACTGAAGCATCCAGACTCACGGACTGAGCTGCCCCTGGGTTCTCAGACTTTTCAGGGTGAAGACAGCCCTTCTTGGACTACCCAGATCGTATTTGTAAACCAATCTAATATGTCTGCTTTTAAATATATATTTGTATTTAAAATATAGTTTTGTTTTTATTCTGCCAGTGTTCTTCTAGAGACCCTAATTAAGACAACTACTTTTCTCAGGAACGAGAACGATCCCCTGTTCCTTTTCTCTCTTCTCTGGGGCCATGCTCCTCACTTTCTTGGTTTCCTCCTTCCCAGATCATTTTGCTTCTCTTCAGTCCCTCCAGACAAGGCAACTAGTCTCATAGCCCACATTTCACCAGGTCTCACATCTGGAACTTTCCTCTCTGAACCTTCAGCAAAAACATCCTGAACCCCAGGCCATTCATCCAACCAGAAGGCTCTGATTTCCCCAAAACAGCTTGCTCCATCTCACCAAATGGTAAAGCTCTTGACTTGATCTTCGTTCAGGTGAAGAAACTGGGATGCTGTAGGATAATGCTCTTGTACTCTGTGAAGATTTGTCATTTGTATTGGTTTAATAAAACACTGATTGGCCAGTAGCCAGGCAGGAAGTATAGGTGCGGTGACCAGACTAGGAAAATTCTGGGAAGAGGAAAGGCAGAGATGCAGTCTCAAGTCAGACACAGAGGAACCAAGATGAGAATGCCTTATTGAGAAAAGGTACCAAGCCATGTGGCTAAACATGGACAGGAAT